AGCTGAGCCTACTTAGTGAGAGTGCCATTTGCATTGGGGTTTATGTGTGTTCAATTGCTGGCACATTTTGGAATTTTTTTCCCCCAAAAGCATTCAGTGCTATTACTATTGCAAAACTTAAAATGTTGTTACCATTAAATGTGAAAATTTTAATGTAATCCTTTACTTTCCCAGTCACTACAGTAAATGAAATAATAGTTAAATTTTTTGCAGTCACTTCTGAAAACTATCAGAATGCTCTACTATTCGGTAGGCCAAAAGACACATAGATAGTCAGGTCAAATACACCCTGTAATTATAAAAAATATTGAAAAAATAGAACTTTTAAGATCTTTTTAAATTTCCTTGAATCCTCCAGGTAGCTTGGCTGCAGGATTCTGGGAAATGGACACTAAAAGTTCCCTTTTCAGTTAAAACAAGTCATACTTCCAATGCAAAAGCAAGGAATCTATCCCTCACGTGACAATTATAATTAAACTGTACCCAGTCTTAGTGGTTGAGAAATATATTACATAAAATATATGTCAAATACAACTGCTTTGTAATCATGCTCTCTTTCTCTCCTCCCAGCCCCCCCCCCTCTTTCTTTCTTGCAATAATTTGTGATCTGCATTGAATTATTTTTCAACTCCAGGCCCCTAGAGAGAACTTTTTTCCTTTCCTCTTCCTTCTTTCCCTCCTTTTCTTCTTCTTCCACCCTCCCTCCTTCCCTCCCCCCCTTGCAATAATTTGTCATTCTGAATGATTGTTTTTAGACTCCAATCCCCTAGAAAAGAGGCTCTTGCTTCTTTCCCTCCTTTTACTTTCGTATCCTTCCCTCACTTCTCCTGTCATTTCTTTCCCTTCTCTCTCTCTCTCTCTCTGGATTGAGTTGTTTTAGACCCAAGCCTCTAGAAAGAGCTTCCCTCTTTCTGCTTCCTTCTTTCCCTCCTTTTTCTTTCTTATCTTTCCCTCCCTTCTCCTTTCTCTTCTTTCCCTTCTTTTTCTTTCTCTCTTTCTCTTGCAATAATTTGTGATCCGGATTGGGTTGTTTTTCAACCCCAGGCCCCTAGAGAGAGCTTTCCCCTTTCCTCTTCCTTCCTTGCCTCCTTTTCTTCTTCTCCCTCCCTTCCTCCCTCCCTCCCTCCCTCCCTCCCCTTCCTTCCTTCCTCCTTCCTTCCTTCCTTCCTTCCCCTTCTCTCTCTCTCTCTCTCTCTCTCTTGCAATAATTTATTATCTGGATTGAGTTGTTTTTCAACTCCAAGCCCCTATAAAGAGTTTACCCCTTTCCTCTTCCTTCTTTCCGTCCTTTTTCTTTCTTATCCTTCCCTCCCTTCTCCTTTCCTTTTTTCCCTTCTTTTTCTCTTTCTTTCTTTCTTTCTTTCTTTCTTTCTTTCTTTCTTTCTTTCTTTCTTTCTTTCTTTCTCCCTCTCTTGCAATAATTTGTGATCTGGATTGGGTTGTTTTTCAACCCCAGGCCTCTAGAGAAAGCGCCTCCCTTTCCTCTTCCTTCCTTGCCTCCTTTTCTTCTTCTTCTACCTCTCTCATTCCTTTCTTGCCCTTCTTTTTCTCATTCTCTCTCTCTCTCTCTCTCTCTCTTTCTTGCACATATGTGTGATCTGGATTGAGTTGTTTTTCAACTCCAAGTCCCTATAAAGAGCTCCCCCCTTTCCTCTTCTTTATTTCCCTCCTTTTTCTTTCTTATCCCTCACTCCCTTCTCCTTCCCTTTCTTTCCCTTCTCTCTCTCTCTCTCTGCAATAATTTGTGATCTGGATTGAGTCATTTTTCAACCCCAGGCCACTAGAGAGAGCTTGGAAAGTTGATATTCCAGGGGTATCATTTTACTGCGGCTCAGTTATGGGTGACTTCAGCATACCATTACATTCCTGCTTTGCAAAAGTTACTGACCAAACTGCTCTGGACCCTGTCTCCCCTGCAGACCCAGCAAAGCAATATTCAGCTGCTCGATTTCCTTCAGTCGGAGACCTGGCCGTTTTGGAAGGGACTGGCTTCCAGGCTGGAAGGGTACAGGGAGTTCCTTCTGATAAGATGATTTATGCCTGGTACATTTCTGGCTCCCTTTCCCACCTGAATATAAGCTCTGTTTCTGCCAGAAGAACTTACATTTGGGGAAACAGCCAAATGCTTGGATACATGTGCCTATTAAACCGTGACCTAGTTGTAAATGTGGTCTTGCAGGCATGTTATAGGGCTATCCTACAGAAAAATCCAAGAATTCAAAAAAGTCAGGAGTAATCCATTGTAATGTCCAGAGCAACAGAGGCTACTTCATACTACAGTAAACTCTCAGTTAAATGGCAATGAAAAATAGGCCTAACTAATACTATATCCATGCTATACTATACCATGTATCGACTTGATATTGGGATTGAAATACAGTAACTAAAAGTGAATTGAGACAAATAAAGACAAACTTAACTTAATGTAACATTGTTTTATGGGGCCGCGGTGATGCAGTGAGTTAAACTGCTAAGCTGCAAAACTTGCTGACCAGAAGGTTGGCGGTTCGAATCCACGGGACGGAGTGAGCTCCTGTTGTTAGCCCCAGCTTCCGTCAACCTAGCAATTTGAAAACATGCAAATGTGAGTAGATCAATAGGTACTGCTTTGGTGGGAAGGTAACGACGCTCCATTCAGTCATGCCGGCCACATGACCTAGGAGGTGTCTACAGAAAACAAATGGAGATGAGCACCAACCTCCAGAGTTGGACTCGACTAGACTTAATGTCAAGGGGAAACGTTTACCTTTACTAACATAGTTTTACTGCTTTATTGTATTATTATTTCTTAGATTTTTTTTGTTGTTTGCTTGAGGGTTCTGGTTATTTGAATTCTGGTTAACTGAGAGTCTCTGTAAATAGTTACAGCTCGATGAGTCCACTTTATATGCCTTGACAATATCCTATGAGATTCTGGGATTGGTTCTTTAGGGGAGGATATTCAGAATTCTGCACCAAAGAGCTCCAATACCTAACTACAGATCCCAGAACTTCATAGAATATTGGCACAGCAGTTAAAGGACAACCGCAGTGCCATCATTATGTAGGGTAAAAGGGCCCCAACTTTTTGAAAAAAATTAATGAGGTTTCATTTGCGGGGTAAAGTCACAGCAATATTAAGTCGAGGTGGAAATCCATTTCTCTTCCAGCTCTGGATATGAACTGTCCAAGGTGCTGCATCCCATCCAAAACACAAACTTGGCATCCTATGATAGCATTAATGTTAGGACTGAAACCTGGAATGGATTCGCAGCCACGTTGACTTGCAAGCCATCAGCCAACCTTTTTTGTGTGTGTGTCAGGAGCAACTTGAGAAACTAGAAGTCGTTTCTGGTGAGAGAGAATTGGCCGTCTGCAAGGACTTTGCCCAGGAGACGCCCAGATTTTTTGATGTTTTTACCATCCTTGTGGGAGACTTCTCTCATGTCCCTGTATGGGGAGCTGGAGCTGACTGAAGGAGCTCATCCGCTCTCTCCCTGGATAAGAACCTGCGACTTGTTGGTCTTCAGTCCTGCTGGCACAAGGGTTTAACCCACTGCACCACCTGGGGCTCAGTGAGTTAAATAGCCAACCTATTGAACGAATGGGAAACTATCACATACCCCTGTTATGTTCATTTACTTGAAAAGGATCTGCATGGATTGTAGTTGAGTTAATTTCAGTTTCCTTTAAAAATATGACAAATGTAGGGGATTCCTTTCAATTTTATCTGAAATCTGGATCACATATCTGTATATCTTTAATCCGAAACAAGAATGGGCAACTTGGAAGTCCCTGAAAAGACTCAGAAGTGGAGTGGGCTGATCAAAAGACAACCTGGCAAAATGGCACTACCTAAAAGAATCCCACACTTTATGTGACTGTGGAGCAGAACAGACAACTCCGCATCTGTATGCTTGTCCACTATGTCCTGCCTCATGTACAGAGGAAGAATTGTTGGAGGCTACAGAGAATGCCATTGCTGTTGCCCGTTTTTGGTCAAAAGATATTTAGCTACCTGCACTCCTTCTGTTTTTATCAGTTTTATACTAATTTATGCAATGCTTTTGATACGAAATAAAATAAATTCTGAAACAAATCTCATTGAATTCAATAGGATTTATCCCAGGGAAGTATGCATAAGACTGCAGCCACAACTGGGAAGGGGAGAGAATGGAAGAATTGGTGACTCATAATTTACGCAAGTCTAATGCACCATCAAATGTAATGAACACCTCAAATTTCCAAACTTTGGAACCAGATTGGACCCTTAAGCGGCTGAGGGGAGAAAGATGCTGTTAGGAATTGTGGGAGTTGAAGTCCAACACACCAGGAGGACCCAATTTTGCCCATGCCTGATCTATATTGTAGAATGAATCCACTTTAACTGCCCTGGCTCACGTAATTTTACAAGGTGTTGATCCTTCTTTGCCAAAGAATGCTGGTGCCTCACCAAACTACAAATCCCAGCATAGCACTGAGCCACAGCCATTAAATTTGAGGTGACATCCCTCAAAAAGGAGCTGCAGGACCTCCTGAAACTGCTTCCCCACTAAGATTACCATATTATATGAATATAATGCGCACCCTAATTTTGGCAAGGTAATTTAGCCCAAAAAATATGAGCAAGTAAATATGGAATATTCTAGGCAGAGTTTGGACTAGATATTTACTTCTGCAAAAATGCTCTGGAACAGTTTGAGCCTTCAGCCAGCTTTGCTGCATCTACTTGGTCTGTTTTGGATCTGAAATAACCGACAAACATCTAATTGACACTCCTGAGAACGAGACATATTTTTTCAAAAAGTTCCACGTTATGAAATCGTGTTCTCCTCGTTCGAAGCCTGGGAGAGGATTTCAGCGGCTCGAAAACCTGTTATATTGTCTAAGACCCGATGCACATTCCTTTGGGATATAAATATCAATTTGATTAGCTAGCAGGTCTTGTCAGCTACAGTATCTTATCCCCCGGGGCATTTGAGCAATGACGTGGTCCCAGGACTTCTGTAAAAGGCCTGGGGGATCTTAACTATAGTCTATATAAGACAGGGTCTCTCCCCAAGCCAGGAACCTAAGAGAAGAGAGATCTTTCTGCCTATTCCTCTCAGCTTTGGAAGCCAACTCTAAAAGGTGAGTTTAGCTTCTCGTTCGAGAAGAGTTCTAGTTATCTCCTGGAGCCATCGGCGAAATTGAAAACCTGCAAGATTCTCTCACCAAAGAATCAGTTGATGATGAAGAAGAAGAAAAACATTGATATCTGGGATTTGGGGTTTTGCAAGAAACCGAGAAATCGATGCTGCGAGAAAAAGGAAGCAAAGATGCATCATGTGAAAAATAAAATATTATGACTTGGGTGGAGAAGAGGATTTGAAATCTTTCGGATGAAGGAACTCTGCTGCCTGGTTCCGAATGGGAGCTTGCTTTTGCCTTGGACTGTATTTCTCGCTTTTCGACTGAGATGTCAAGCAATCATGTCATTCGTTGCCTCATCTGCTCCGGCAGCTGCAGCCATCCATACACAGATGATCTCCTGCCCCAAAATTTTATTTTTTCCCTCTATAGTTTTAATATTTGTCTTTATTGTCAGCTAATTATTTCTCCCTCCTCCTCTTCCCAGCTTTGACATGTCTCTAGCCGGTATTCTGACCGATGCTGAGATTGCAGCAGGCCTGGAAAGTTGCAAAGGTAAATGTCTCTCTGAAAATTTTTTGTTGCATTGTTGTGTGTCTTTGGGTGCATCTGCACTGCAGAACAAATGCAGTTTTGACAACACTGTGTTTCAATGCTATTATTGCTGTAATTTGTAAGCTGCTTTTTCTCTTAACTGAGACTCAAAGCAGCGAACAGCGCTAAAAAGAATGCAATATATAATACAAAACCTCAAGATGATATAGATTAAAACAGAAATTAAACCAAAAGAGTTGTCCTTTTACAAGATCTTTAGAATCATAGAGTTGGAAGAGACCTCATGGGCCATCCAATCCAACTCCCCTGCCAAGAAGCAGGAAAATTGCATTCAAAGCACCCCTGACAGATGGCCATCCAGCCTCTGTTTAAAAGCTTCCAAAGAAGGAGCCTCCATCACACTCTGGGGCAGAGAGTTCCACTGCTAAACAGCTCACAGTTCAGGAAGTTCTTCCTAACGTTCAGGTGGAATCTCTGCTTCACCAAACCACAGATCCCAGGATTTAATAGTACCGAACCATGGCAGTTAAAGTGGTGTCAATCAGCATTCATTCTATAATGTAGATGCACCCTATGAGTAATTTCCAACTCATTGAGTTTCAGAATGCAGGCTGGAGCCCCCGGTGGTGCAATAGGTTAAACCTTTGTGCCAGAAGGACTGCTGACCAATAGGTTAGCAGTTCAAATCCGGGGAACGCAGGTTGAGCACCCTCTGTCAGCTCCAGCTCCCCATGCAGGGACATGAGAGAAGCCTCCCACAAGGATAGTAAAACATCAAACATCCAACCATCCTCTGGGCAACGTCCTTGCAGATGGCCAATTCTCTCACACCAGACGCAAATTGCAGTTTCTCAAGTCGCTCCTGACACGAAAATAAAAGCAGGCTAATTGGATTATATGACAGTGTAGAATCATATTTATAATCCAGTTCAATTAATATGCACCCCAAAACTTCATAATTTAGCAGTGTAGATCCAGAACAGATGCAGCAGAAGTGTCAGGAATCATTTGGGGAACTTTTTTGGAATCTTAACAGGCAAAACACTAATTGCAAAGAACAGTATGCTAAATTACACAGAAGAGTTTTGTAATCTTTAATGCTTAACGTGTCCAGCCATAACAGTATTTAATCTATCTATCTATCTATCTATCTATCTATCTATCTATCTATCTATCTATCTATCTGCCCAACCTAAGCTTTCTAGCAGGGATTGTGCTGATGTTTGTTTTTAATTTTCCACATTATTGCTGACAGCAATTTAGCAGATTGGTTTTCCGTCTTCATTGTCTCTTAAGAGAAAGAACAGAACACTACTGTTTAGTTCTGCAAAGATGTGCCCATACGTTTCCATTGACCTCAGTACAATCCAGGCTAGCTGCTCTCATGATCCAGCTGTCATTCCAAGCCACTATCCACATGTAACAGGTGGTTCTGGATGTGCCTGGACAGTGAATCTACACTGAAGAATTAATGCAGTTTGACACCAGTTTGACTGCTATGGCTTACTGCTATGGGATCCCAGAAGATGTAGTTTGGTGAGGCAAAGAAAATCTAAAGACTGTGTCAATCCACAACTCCTATGATTCCACAGCTCTAAAGTGGTGCCAAACTGCATTCATTCTACAGTGTAGAAGCACCTTCGGTGTTCTCTTTCAGCTCTAACACTCTATGGATGCTTTAGAGCAGGCATGGTAAACTTGGGCCCTCCAGGTGTTTTGGACTTCAACTCCCACAATTCATAACAGCCGGTAGGCTGTTAGGAATTGTGGGAGTTGAAGTCCAAAACACCTGGAGGGCCGTAGTTTTCCTATGCCTGCTTTAGAGCAATTCTTGTTATGAATCAGTCACACATGTCTCACTGGTGCATGAAACTCATATCCCTATGTCAAATAAACAAGAGTACTGTAGCATTTCAAAGACCTGAAGACATTTATTACATCAGATTGTAGCTCATTTAGGTTGCATCTACACTGTAGAGTTAGTCCGGTTTGATGCCACTTTAACTGCCAAGGCTGTAAAATCCTGGGAGTTGTAGTTTTACACGACCTTTAGCCTTCTCTGCCAAAGAGGTCTGGTGCCTCACTAACTACATTTCTCATGCTTCCATAGCAAATAAAGTGGTGCCAAACTGCATTAATTCTACCATGTAGATTCACTCTTAAACAAAGGCATCAAAACCCAGATTTTTTTTTTCTGTAGCAGGCTAACACATCTTGAAATGATTGTACAATAATGAAACATAACCCAGAGTTAGCATGTTCCCACCTCAAAGTTTGGGGAAAATAATTTCTGCATTTGAACTGTCCAATATGCCAGAGACAAATAGATAAAATATACTAGGCAAAAGCTGCCTGTAGCAAAACCTTCATTAAATAAATACCTAAAATGCTACAATGTGTTTACAGAACTTGGGAAAGACTTAAATTAGAGTTATACAATCCTTCATATTTGCTAGATAATATGTTTAGGAAGGAGCCCCCCACTGAGCTGCTGAACTTGTTGACCGAAAGGTTGGCAGTTCGAATCCGGGGAGCGGGATGAGCTCCTGCTGTTAGCTCCATCTCCTGCCAACCTAGCAGTTCCAAACATTCAAATGTGAGTAGATCAATAGGTACCACTTGACCAGTCATGCTGGCCACATGACCTTGGAGGTGTCTATGGACAACGCCGGCTCTTTGGCTTAGAAATGGAGATGAACACCACCCTCCAGAGTCGGACACGACTAGACTTAATGTCAAGGGGAAACCTTTACCTTTTTATGTTTAGGAAATACATAGAAATGTGATTTGCCTGTGCTATGATTGGGACCTCCTTCTCACATGCCTTTAAGTTGATTGTAAAAGGAATGATAATCATGTCAATTGTGCCAAAATTGTGACCAAGGCTGTATCCACACTGCAGTTTGGCACTACATTAACTGCCAAGGGTTCGATAATAATAAATCCTGGGATGTGTAGTTTTGTCACCCTTCACTGTCAGACAGTTCTGTTGCCAGAACAACTACACATCCTAGGATTCTATATGAGAGAGGGCCATAGCAATTAAAGTGGTTTCAAACTGCTATAATTCTGCAGTGTAGATGGCCTTGAAATAGCAATTGTGAGTACGGAACAGCTATGAAGGGGTAAATTTAGATAACTGGTATTGACACTCATTACTTAGTCACAAATATGACACTACCCTAACTCCCCAACCTATTTTAATGGGCATCAGCTGCCTGGGAAAAAAAGAGATGCGTTCTGCTGGCCACTGGGACTGAATGACATCTCCAGCAGGTCTGGAGGGGTCAGGCCAGGGGAGGTTGCTTAATGTAGTATCCTTAAATCGTCTGGTTGATACTGACACAATAAATAAAAAAACAAAAAATAATAACAGAGTTGATACAGGAATCAGGCCATTATTGTCAAGGGAAAACAATGTCAAAGAAAACAAATAATTTCTTAAAAGACTCATCGTATCTATACTACTCACATATAGCCAATGCTATATATATATATTGTGTGTGCCTTCCAGTTGTTCCTGTCTTATGACAGGAGTTTGCCTGGAAAAGTTTGTTCAATTGGGGGGTTTGTCCTTGCCCTCCTCTAAGGCTGGACTTAAGGCACCAAAATAATGCAGGCCGTTCTTAACTATAAGTCATTTGTAAATCAGATGTTTGTAACTTGGGGATTGCCTATATAGTGTGTGTGTGTATTCATACACAAACACACACACACACATATGTACATATACACTAGTTTAGTTTGAGGGCCCATGTTTTAGAATAATATACCTTGGTTTGGTAACACATAGGAATGAAGCCTGTTTCGTTATTTATTCCTTCACAATCCCATGCTTCACCTCCTGCTCCTTTTTCTCTCTCTTTCTTCAAGCCCCGGATTCGTTCAACTCCAAGACCTTCTTTGCCAAATCAGGCATGCACGGCAAATCGAAGGATCAGCTGACAAAAGTGTTTGGCATCCTCGACCAGGACAAGAGCGGATTCATTGAGGAGGATGAACTGATGTCAGTAAAAGGAAAGCGAAAGGGATGGGGACAAAAGAAGGGGGAGGAAGGGGAAAAGGGAAAAGGGAAAGGGAAGCAAAAGGAAGAGTGTGAAAGTAGTGGGAAGGGGTATGAGGAAGCAGTAAAGAAACAAGGGCCGCTTCTACACTGCCCTATAAAATCCAGATTATCTGTTTTGAACTGGATTATAAAGCAGTCTGGACTCATATAATTCCATTCAAAGCAGATAATGTGGATTATCTGCTCTATAGCAATGTAGAAGGAGCATTTAATAATAAAGTTCAGGCATTCAAAGAAACTTGCCAAATAAATGTCAACACAGCAAATAAACATTCCAGGTGTGGATAATTTTCAGTGTCTCATTCTATTCAATAACACAAATTCGGGGGCAACTGGGGGGGGGGTCCTTTTGCGGGAGTAGGGTTTTTGTTTATGGAGCAATGCCTTCATTTGCAAAAGAGGGAGCTGCCTTTTCGCTCACCCTGTTGTTCTTCCCCAGGAAATTCCTGCAGAACTTTAATACATCTGCCCGACTTCTGACTGAGAAGGAGACCAAGGTTCTCCTGAACGCAGGTGACACTGACGGAGATGGCAAAATTGGAGTTGATGGTAAGGTGACACCCCTAAAAGCTATTTCCTCTATTTCTGATGATCATCTCATGAGCGCTGATCCATATGTAACCAAGCATGATCGCCCATTCAGAGGGGCTTCAGTAGATTTGAAGGAACACTCTGATATCCAGAAATACAAACAAGTCTCTTGCAAGAGTAGGGTGGTCAAATGCAAAAGATATAGGGACCCTGCACCTTTTGCTCTTATTGATATATTGCTTCTCTGCCCACCAAGGACATTATTGTGCCATGGTCTGGTAGCACCACAATCCCATTTTCTGTGAAAACGGGAATATACCGGCATTGTACTTCTTCCTTGCACAATGTTCCCGTATTGTTGTTGTTGTTATTATTATGTTTCTGCTTCGTGGAGTCTGTGAAATGTGCCCTGCTTTTTCTCTCCACAAAGGAAACTCAAAGTGATAATAGAATATATGTTGTGTTATCGAAGGTTTTTATGGCCAGAATCACTGGGTTGTTGTAGGTTTTTCGGGTTGTATGGTCATGCTTCTAGAACATGGCCATACAGCCCGAAAACCTACAACAACCCAGAATAGATGTTATCATTGCCAAACCTTATTTTGTGGTGCTGGGGCCACAACAGCAGAACTCCAAAGATTGCGATGTTTGGGTTATTGTAGGTTTTTTCGGGCTATATGGCCATGTTCTAGAGGCATTCTCTCCTGATGTTTTGCCTGCATCTATGGCAAGCATTCTCAGAGGTATCTCACTACCTCTGATGATGCTTGCCATAGATGCAGCCGAAACGTCAGGAGAGAATGCCTCTAGAACATGGCCATGTAGCCCAAAAAAAACTACAACAACCCAGTGATTCCAGCCATGAAAGCCTTTGACAATACGTTGCGATGTTTGTCTGTTTGAATCCCAGTCACAATATCACAACTAAAAGAGTGCATTCATATTCAAAAGGCAAAAAATCATTGCTGTTATCATAGAATCATAATGTAGCTGAACACACAAAGCAGTGATTTTCCAAGAAATATTTCTGCACTATATTCTATGTTTCTATGTTTCTATATCTCACATGAAAAGGATGCTTGTACAACAAACAGAAAAGCAGAATAATGCCTGGAGATACCCAATATGCCACTGGCATAAAACAGCAAGGTGCAATAAACTGCACAATAACATGCTGTTAATCACTTGTGGGATAATGACTCTCAAAGCAGAGATCAATAAAACGGAGCAAGCATTGTTTAAAAATAAATGGAAGTCCATTTCAAAAGCCTATTTGAAAGCACTTTCAATCCCCAAAGCCCTTTGAGACTGAATCTTCATTGCCATATAATTAGATTATCTGCTTTGAACTGAATTATATGAGTCTACGCTGCCATATAATCCAGTTCAAATAGATAATTTGGATTGTGTATGGCAGTGTAGTATTGTTCAATGCAGCTTCTTTTGGAGATGGGTCCCACAACAAGGGACTCCACAGGAGATTTCATGTTCCAGGGAAACTCATACAGGAAGAGGCGGATGCAGGGAGAGGGCTGAAATTCGGGGCTCAAGCTCCTTAAGGCTTTGCATATTAAAATTTGGATCTTGGATGACATTTAGAAACAAATAGAAAGCTTTTACAGCTGGTTTAATTGGGGCCTCTTCCACACAACTATTTAAAATCCACATTGAACTGGATGTATGGCAGTGTGGACTCAGATAATCCAGTTCAAAGCAGATATTTTGGATCATCTGCCTTGATATTCTGTGTTGAAGGGCCCTGGTTCAGTCAAAGAGTGGTCTGTATGCTGGAATTTTCATTCCTTGTTGCTGCAGAACAGTTTCCAAGGGCAGCTCTATGTAGAACGCATTACAGTAGTCTAATCAGGAGGTAATTAAAGTGGGGAAAAGCAACAGAAGTAGCTGCTGTGAAAATTAGTCTTTCCTGTATAAAACCAGTAACGGTTTAGAAGCCACAATCCCTTTTGTATGTGGCCAATCCAGACAGAACTAAAGTAGCGACTGCAACGTTGAGAGAAATGTTTTCTATTTTCCAAGGTAATGAAACCTATTTTCTCTCTCCTTCTTTTCTAGAGTTCATAGCCCTGGTTACTGCTTAAAGTGGACAAGAGGAAGACCAAGCTGATTATATTGTAAAACACTCTTTCTTACTGCAAGTTGACTATTTCTTTATACCTTTTTTTACAGTGAAACAGCATTAACAGTTGCCAGTATCTTGTTTCTTCTTGTTGGAGAATTGTGTTAACTCACAAGCGCTCCCTGTTTGATCTTTATTACTGTCTAGTCTTGTAAGTTCGTAATGAAAAGTGGCTCAACATCCGAGACAAAGTTGGAAGCCTTCGGAGTGGGACTGTGAACTTTGACGTTTCATTTGCAGTAGGCGCTGTTATTAGGAAGACTCTGTAAAAGGGAGATTTCAAAGAGATCTCCGAATCAAAGGTTAGCCGATACAAAAACGATAGAGGACAAGAAAAATCACATTGATTTTTTTGTTTCAACAAAAAAGCTTAAAAGGGAATGCTCTGACTGGTCTTAGCTTTACATAACCAGCTTCACAAAATGCCTTGCTGTACAAAAACTGGTGGAATTGTTCATTCATACCTATAAAGTGACTTCATCTTTCACAATTTCTGCAGTTGTCCTTTCCTTATGTGGCTTCCTGGGGTCTGCTTTGTTTTCTTCCTTTGCTTACACAACAAGAGGCTATTTGGTAATCAAACCATAATGACTTTGTCATGTTTGGGACAAATTTTGGTATGGTTTAGGGGTGTTGTTTTTTAAGTGATGGGGACTTAGGGTGCATCGACATTAAAGAATTAAAGAATTAAAGACATTAAAGAATTGATGCCATTCAACATTATTATTATTTACGATATTTATAGCCCACCTTTCTCAGCCATACGGCGACTCAAGGCAAGTTACAGGTTGGCACAATTCGATGCCATACATCCATGCTTGGCTAAATCGTATGGAAACATGAAAGGGTTGTTGTAGGTTTTTCGGGCTGTATGGCCATGTTCTAGAAGCCATGTTCGGGCCATACATCCCGAAAAACCTACAACAACCCAGTGATTCCGGCCAGGAAAGCCTTCGACAATACATGAAACGTAAGAGTTTTACAAAGTCTTCAGCCTTCTCTGCCAAAAGGTACTGGTTCCTCACCAAACTACAAATCCCATGACTCCCTAGGATTGAGACATGGTAGTTAAAGTAGTGTTATAGTGCATTAATTCTTCAGTGTAGAGCCAGCTTCACGCACTTATTGAAACCCAATTACAGTGAACTGAGCTTTTTAGAAACTATGGCCACTTGATGGCACTCCTGTTTCACCCAAAGGTATTACATGCATAACACGTTGAATTGCTGTTCTTGAATGACTCCCAAGATCTCCTAGGCTTCTTCTACACTGCCATATAATCCAGATTATCAAAGCAAATAATCCAGATTAATTTTATTGCTTATTATTTATTTACAGTATTTATACCACCCTTCTCACCCTGAAGGAGACTCAGAGCAGCTTACAGAACACACATACAGCAAACATTCAATGCCAATTATACAATTAACAGAGACAGGCAACACAAACAGAGGTAAAGGAAGCTTTTCCCATGTTATTTCCAGCATCTTGGAGTCTGTGCTCGACTCCAGTTACAGGGGGGTTCTTCGATGCTGAAGAGCTTTCCTCCAATTAATCAATGTCCTTAAGGGCGCCTTTATTACCTCCCTGCTAAAAGCGGTACCTATTTTATCTTCTCGCATTTCTGCGAGATAGGCAGATGAGTTGGGGCTAACGGTGGGTGCTCACCCTGACCCGGGCTCAAACTACCGACCTTCTGATTGGCAAGATTTTTCTGCAGCACAGTGGTTTACCTTGCTGTGCAAAGACCAGCTCTGAACTGGATTGCACTGCCATATAGTTCAGATAATCTGGATTTTATCGGGCAGTGTAGATGGGGCCTCGGTCAAGTATCCCATGGATAGGTTCAAAACAAGCTTATTATGGCACACCCTTCAACATTTTAAGGATGAAAACTGTGGCCAAGCAGTGTCAGAGTGTGGTCAAGAAGGCAAATGATACTCATTGGTAAGGACAGACAAACTAGGCAAGGCTGCACGAATTTGCTTTCGCTTGGGAAGGCAGGAAGAGTCATGAATAGCTGTCAAAATCCAATAAATATGCTCTTTATTTACAATTGTCAGTCCTCTGCTGACATCCTCTCTGGCCATTGAGAATAACCCTCTGATTTTGCCTCCAACCCATCTGTGTCTAATTTGTCCTTCTGGAAGCTGGGCATGCTGGGCCCTGAAGCCACGGTTCTTGTGAATGCTGAAATTATACAACAGAAGGACTACTGAAAGAGGCACCTTTGGCCACTAAGGAGAGTGGAAATGAATACTGATCTTCACAATGACTGAAGAAAATACTGGCACAATCTATACGAAAGCTTAAGGTGTACTTACACTTCTATATGCAAGAACCCAGGATCCTTCCAATGCCATACAGAGGGGCTGAGCAGCCATCATTTCCTACAGAGGTTCCCATAGATGAATCTGTCTACTATATTTTTAGAACTCCTCTAGCTACCTACTTACCTATTACTACAGTTTTTGATAATGAGTTAGATATATCAGCCACATGTGAGCAAATATGTTTTGTTTTCTCTCTGAACCCATTTTACGCTCAGAGGGGATAATTGGGTTTACCCCAACTTAGTTCCAACAACGCTGCAGCGTAAGCTTCCTCTGTTCACCAGCATCCCTGAGTTTGGACTGATAATTATTTTAAGACAATGGCCAATAATGCTGGAACTCTAGAAGAGGAGCTGGTAATAGGATACACAACCAGGTTCTCCCTCTGTGCGTGTCTCTGTTACTCACAACTTTTTAACTCATTCTTGAGAGAGGGTCTCTATACCTTTAATCATCCTCTAACCTTTAGGGCCAGCGTTATTGTTGAATCAACAGAGAAAACCTGAATAATTCAGCAATCCAGAGATCGCCCTCCATGATTATGCTGCTGACAGCAGCCAGAAACATCTTTAGACAATTGCATGGTGCATCGAGGTCACAAGATAGTGTTACTAGACCCTGGGCAACATTTGACACTCTGTTTAATGATCATGACGGATAAAGTATATCAAGTGGTAGCAACAGCAGCCGCAGAGGTGCCTCCCTTGGCTTTGATGCTGAAGGCATGGTGCCAGGGCTCCTCTGGTCTACCCAAATATCTACAAATAAGGTGGAAGCTGTACTTGAACTTATTTTTAAAATACAGCCATATCACTCACCTCTTGTCCTACTCTAGTCTGTTTCTCATCACTTTCTGGGTTTCACACTCAAGGCAAGAGGTGACCCCCCCCCCCCCAGGAGTTTCCAATATACAAAAGGAAAATTACCCCATGGAACCAGTATAGCCTAGTGGTTTGTGCATCTGACTACAAGTCTGGAAACTATGGTTTGAATTCCCTCTCAACCATGGAAACCTGTTGGGTGATCTTGGGCAAGTCATACACTTGCAGTCCTAGAACCACTGTTGTCAAACATGACCCCCCCCCCCGGCCCGTAATAAAAGATAGTTTATAATCAGGGAATTCATAGTTTTGCCAAGGACATCAGGCTGGAATGCTATAATAAGGGTTGGGTTGTGGCCAATCTGTAGAAGGATTAACAACCACAACAGGTTAGATGGTGTGTACATTTAATCAAGATTCATGCCCTGTATTTCATATATTTATAGCAGAAGGTAACTGCTAACATTTACTGAAAACCTTGTCACAAAAGATATTTGACCTTTTAGCCTGGGCCTAGCCTGAGCCTCACCCAAGTCAAGAACTAACTACTGTCAAACAAGGGATGCCAAGGCCTTTTGTCTAAGGCCAGCAAAAGGGGAAATGCACAGCAATACTGCCTAGCACGTATGAGAAAGACCTGTTTGAGTAACGTACTTACTTAGGCAATCCCTTGTTGTCCCAGTAGGATAGTCATCCAAGGTCAGTGTACTGGTGGGTCCATAGGTGACTGTGGACCTGCATCTTCTCCCACAGTGAGGGCATTGGTTTCCAGGTGGAAGGCGGTCTCGGTCAGGATTGGCTTGACGCGCCTTCCTCTTGGCACATTTCTCTCTTTCGCCCTCCATTCGTGCCTCTTCAAATTCTACAGTACTGCTGGTCACAACTGACCTTCAGCTGGAGCGCTCAAGGGCCAGGGCTTCCCAGTTCTCAGTGTCTATGCCAGAGTTTTTAAGGTTGACTTTGAGCCCATCTTTAAATCTCTTTTCCTGTCCTCCAGCATTCCGTTTTCCATTCTTGAGTTCGGAATAGAGCAACTGCTTTGGGAGATGGTGGTCGGGCATCTGGACAATATGTCCGGTCCAGCGGAGTTGATGGTGGAGGGCCATTGCTTCGATGCTGGTGGTGTTTGCTTCTTCCAGCACGCTGACATTTGTCTGCTTGTCTTCCCAAGAGATTTGTTTGAGTAAATAACTGCTTGGCTTGGGAGGGCATGTTTCTGAGTGCATCACATGGCATGGGCTGATCTGGTTTTTTAAAATATATACATGGCATAAATGTAGGGTAAGGTGATTGCTTAAAAGGTAATATGTACTGTGCAGGGGCCAGCTTAAGCCAATAACAACCAGCTTATCAAGCGTATCTTACATTGTATCTAAGACAATGGCTGATCTTAATGATGTATGTATTGTTCTTATATTATTATTTAACTCATCGTTTATGTTTTATGCTCTTTTAACATAAATGTTGTTTTATTGTTTGTTTGTAATTTAAATTGTTCAAACTATCAGCATGGACAATATTTCTGCTTTTGGACTCACTGGACAGCAGCGCCAGAGGCTGAGGACTCCTATCACTATTTTTTTGACAATAAAACCCATGGAACTTGATGGCTCCCTTTGTTTGTCCCTCAGCTGGGACCCAATAATCCACTCAAGACCCATCATCCTTCCTTTGTCTCCTGGACTCTCCTGCCCCTCGTTCCCCATTAGGAGCAGGGATTGATCTCCTGTTGGCCAGCCAGTGCCGCAGTCCCACCTTTGCAGGGAATCCTCCCTCAGCTATTCCATGATGTCAGCGGCGCCTAGCCAGTCATGGTAAAGGTGGATCCAGCTCAGTGGGAGCAAGAATTTCAAAAGACTGCAGTGTATAAAAATGTCTGTTTTGCAATGTTATGGCATCTCAGTTCATTTTGGCGGATTACTGTGGGCTGATATCACTTCAGCTGATTTCAATAAACACCTTGGTGGCTTCTTCTTCAACTTGGTGACATTTATTCAAGAATATTGGGCTTCTTTTTCTCACCAGGGCGGCCTGTCACCAGTACCAGTAACCGCATATCGGAACTTGGTACCCACACTTCAGGTTTTGCTATCTGTAGCTTGGCTCTCACTGTCCGCAGCCATTTTAAATTGCTCTATTTCACTGTGACCTCTGGCTTGCTCCATTGTTAGACGTGTGTAGACATTGCTAGGGGATTGTGGTCACTCTGCAGCATTGGAGTCCAAAATGTAAAGCAACATTCAAATGAAATTTATGAAAGGTTGCAGACAAGGGGGAGGGGGGAATCCAATGTGCTGTCTGTATACCCACAGATAATAATTCATATTTTTTATTATTT